AAAATCTGCCCATTATGTTTTTGTATGGCCTGTGAGCTAAGAATGGTTTTTATATTTTCTAATGGGTTGGAGAATTTCGAAAGAAGAACTTGTTATATGTGAAAACTATAAATTTTAAATTTCAGTGTTCACAAAAAAAGGTTTCATGGGAACATAGTCATGTCCATTTGTTTACATATTGTCTATGGCTGCCTTTGTGTCACGGTGGCAGAGTTGAGTAGTTGAGTCTGAGACCTGATGAGGTGCTCAGTAAACTACAGATGCCAGTAATACAGTTATAACTTGCAGTACCTTGTCCAGAGACACATTTTATTTATTTATTTTTATTATTGGTGCCTGCCCATCACATGAAAACAAGAAAAGTGGACTTCAAATGTCACACTTTTAAGGCTCAGTGGGTATGAATTATTACTTCATCAAATTACATGGCAAAGCACTGTGCTTGTTATTAGTTGTGTTAATAGAATACGAGATACACTGACATCACAATATTCCCAACTCACAGAAAAACAATGGTCAAAAAAGAGAAAACTTAAAACAGTATATCTCATCATAGCAGACACGCAAAACAATAAAAAATGAGAATGAGGCTCCAACCAAAGTAGGTTTCCGAGTGGCTCATTTGTTAGCCAAGCAGGGAAAGCCATTTACCACTGGTAAGTTAATTAAATTGTGTTTGATTGAAACAGCTGAAAGAAGAATCCAGAGAAAATAAGCTTGTTTAAGATTATTAGATTTGGGGCAAGAGCAGTTGCTCAGGTTTGGCCCATGGGCGATAGTTTGCTCTATGTAATACTAATGAGTTAAGCCACATTTGGTAGGGTACCTGGCCACCTTCCAGTGTGACCCAGTGGCACAGAGCACAGGAAACAAAAACACAGTCTGGCGAGGCTTAGAAATTAGCATCTTCTCTGTTAACTGTCCTCAGCATCACATATTTACATCATGCTTTTATTTTCTTTCTAGACCTTATTATAACCTGAAAGTGCCTAATTTACTGTTCACTACCACTTCCCCTATGAAGACAAGAACTTTTTCTATCCTGTTTTATGCCCAGTGCCTGGCACAAACGTAGGAGCTCAGTAAACATCCGAATATATGAATGAAGGATGCCTTTATAGGAAATGGGCTCAGAAGGCCTATATACCTTAAACCCTCTGGTGAAAGTGCTCACTCAACACATAGGTATAGAGCCAGGGTCTCCCTTTGTGATGAACTGAGATAGCTCAGAGGCCCAAGCCCAGATTCTCAGAAAGCTAACTGTGCTTGCAGAGTAGATGTGCTTGCCTTGCCCCGTATCACAGAGCAAAGGCTGGGTCCTGGCTGACCATGGTGGTGGAGATTCTGCCCAAGAGACCAGATTTTACCTTTTCAAGATTCTCTGATCTTCCAGTAACTTCTCTGAATAGAAGCATATCCAGGAAGCTGAGTGGTAGCTGTGACTTACTCAGGAATTTTTGGAGTCAGCCAAGCACGGTGGGGAAAGATGAGCACAGGGCACTTCTCTGGCTCCTGTGCTGGACAGTCACACCCATGAACCCGCCTGACTCTTAGCCCCTCCCTCTTCCACCAACCCTGGGTGGCTCCTGATAGGGTCCAGGAGGATTGGCTCCTGTGCTTCAAAGAGAAATAATGGAAAAAAGAGTGGACCCACGCTCCAGGGGTCACTATTTTGACTCTAAGAACTTAAACATTAAAAATGATAAAACAGTAAGGACACAGTAGGAGTCAAGCACTGATCTCAGAACCTTACGTGCAATCTCCTGTCTCACCTTCATCTAATCCTGGTGCAGCACTGTGAAAATTCCCACTTCACATGGAAGTCTCACGGCCTGCCCAAATTTTCACACTAGGAGGTGGTAAGGCTAGAGTAAAGCCCAGGCCTGCACACTGGACCAGTCTATCACATGGCCAAGCCCCTGGTCAAGCAAGATGATCTGAAAATCTCTGGGTGATCTGGGGCCTACTCAAAGCAAACAGGGCTGCCCCTTTGGGACAAGCCCAGCTGATCACTCAAAACTACACTAGGAATGCTACCATCCTGTTTCACCTGATGGGAGTTGGCTCTTACATATGAAACCACAAGCTATGATGGCTCTTTCTAAACAACCCAGTGAGGTCAAGACCGTCCTTCAAAGGAATGAACAATTGAGATTAAATGGCTGCCCAAGGTGTACAAGCTGTTTTGTGGTACATCCAGGGCTTGAGCCTACTCTGTGTGATCTCCAAGTTCAACCTTACCAAGAAGGAAAGTCTCCCACCAAGGAGATTCCAGCTTTTCAAGAGAATGCAGACTCGTTTGACATACTGAATCTGTCTGACAAGTGGCAAGAATCTGTCTGACACAGTGGAAACATCACGACTCAGAGGACAGCTAGTGGCGAGTTCAAACTTCAGCTTTACTACCCTGTGGCCTTGGGTAGGTCACTTCACATTTCTCGAGCTGGTTTCCAGTCTGGCTGCCCTTGGGAAGGGGGCCTGGGTTCAGAATAGAAAGAAAACTTCCTTACACTGAATAATTGTTGTCTGGTTTGAAATCTTTTACCATGTGCATATATTACTTTTCCTAAATATTTGCATATAATTTGATTGATTTAATTGGGGAAAAATGTACATAGGAAAAATAATGACCTCTTCTTTGGGTTTATTAAAAGGTTTCAAAATAAAGTGTGCAGCTAGTAAAGGCACACAGTATGTGCTAAATCAACAGGGTGGTGATGGGGTGGAGGGAAGTGAGAGGCAGGCTCATTCCTGCCCTGAGGCCAGAGGCGAACATGTAGCACAGAAGCCCCAGCCTACAGCCAGCCCCTAGCATTAAGGAAGGTGCCCATTAAGCTAGAGTCTCAGGGGCCTGTGAGTTGGGGGAGATGACCCTAGCCTGGACACCCATGCCCTTTCCTCTCTTGTGGAGCCTCAGGAAGCCCCTGTGCCCTGACCAAAGCCCTGGGGTCATAGGATCTCACCTCTGCACACATCTACAGTCACCCCATGCAGCTGTCCCTGGTTAGAGGAAGCCTGTCTCTGCTCAGGGTCGTCTGTGTGGGATTTGGACTCAGCTTCTGTAGACTGCCTATGGTTCTTGTGCTTCCACTTCCAGCCTCCCCGGCCTGAGCAGGAAAAGGCTGGTGGCCCCAGGGATGCCCCAGGTTGGTGGCAGGGCATAGGTCAACATGTCTCCTGGCCCCTCCTTCAGCCCTTCGAAGGCATGAGTCATTTTGGCCGTATGTTTACTTGCTCCTCATAGATCCTCCCTCCCAGTTCTCAACGGAAGTGACTGTTGCACTACTGCTGACAGGCCTGAGTGGGAGCAATTAGACCCAGGAGCCACACCAATTGGGACATTACTCTCTCATAGATATTTTACTGTAGAATAATTGTACTCCAAACACTGCTAATAAATCAGGCTAGACAAACGAGTGACACACACTTTATCACCTTCATCTTCAATCAGCATCTTGGGACTGGCCTAAGGCTGATGGAGCTCTGAACAGGCCTCAGCGGCCCCACAGAGCTAACGGTCCAAGCTCTGGGTCTGGGGAAGGGAGAGGATGGGGTTGCTCCTCAATCCACCCCTTGAGGGCAGGTCTAGGTACAGGGGCAGGAGAAAAAGAGGGCCAGGGGGAACACCCAGGAAGAACCTGAGACAAGGAGAAGGGGAGGGGAAGGGGTTGCAGTGACAGAGAATCCCAGAGGAGAAAACTCAGGGATCTGAAGAGGACAGAGACCTAGAGGGGAGGGTGGGGGGTGGAAGCCCATCACATGTGACACTGTGGACGGGCCAGATGTTGTGCTGGCACCTGCACTAAGCCCAGGGGACCTCATCAGGCTCCTGTGAGGAACTGAGGTACTTGCTGAAAGTCTCAGGGCAGACCCCTCCTGCTAGGAGCCTGAGCCCCTAACAGTGGGGTCGCCAGCACTCTGTGCTCTCTGAGTCAGTCAAAACCCAGTCATGTCCCAGGACAGCTACTGCTGACCTGCTTGGGCCCACAGTCAGGGAGCCAGCCACAAGAGACAGTGAGGTCTGGCTGTCCATCTCTTCCACCTTCAAGGCCTGATGGGCATGGATTCCCACTTGGTGCTGTGTGGATAGCTGCTGGGGATGGAGGCCCCATGCGAGAAGGTGATTCCACTACTTCAGGGGAGACCATTGTGTTCTGTCCTCCCAGTGGCAGCCCCATCCCAATCGGCACTGGGCCCAGGTTACGAGGTATCACAGGACCAGCTGAGGGAGGCCGAGGGCCCAGTCAGGGTCTCCTGGGATGGAGCAAACATCACCCTGAAAGCCCAATGCCCATGGTCACCCAGCAAGGCACAGCCAAGGCCTCATCCTACCTCAACTAGACTGGCTCACCCACATGCCTAAGGCCAGCATCCAGCAATGATGAACTTTAGGCACCCTAGGTAGCCAGGGGCTGGACCTCCCACTGTGTCAGCTTCCTGTACCTTCCTTCCTCTTGCTCTCTGGCACCCCTTGCCACCACTAGCCCCTTCCCCTCAGTCCACAGGTGATGAAAGACCAGGTCTGACACAGCTGATGGGCAGTGTTTTCCTCTGGACAAGGGGCACATGGGCAGCCCCCCAGCCAGATGGAGGTATGGTGCCCACCAAGGGCAAGAGAGTGGGGCCTGGTCTGGGCAGCAGGCCAGGGAGGCCAGTGCTAACCGTTGCCATCTGACGCTGGCTGTGGGGGAGCCCAGACCTGCTAAGACCCATGGGGCCATCTCCACCATGTAAATAAGTGGGGGTAGGATAGCTGGGTGGGATTGGGTGCAGTGGGAGTCCTCCTGCCCAGGTGCTGGCCCTGGCTTTGTGACTAACCAGCTGAGAGAACTATGCCCATTTGACTACTCTGGGCGTCAGGTACCTTGTCCAGAAACTACAGAGGTTGGCACCAGAAGGTCTCTGAGGGCCTTTGGCTCTCATCACGGATGTCAGGCGGTGGATCCTAGCCACCCAAGCAAGAAGGGAAGGGGTGTGGGGCCAGGCAAGGGCATGCTCACCCGCTCCACGAGGCCATGCTTGTGCTTCAGCTTGTACACCTTTAGCCTGGGCAGGAAGCTGTCGGCATAGTTCCTGTCCTCCAGCCCATGGAGCAGGATGCCATGGAAGGCCAGTCGGCATGTGTTGGCATGAATGTCCGCATCTAGCCTGGAGCCAATCACCAGGCATAGCCGAGGACAGGTGACGGGCTTCTCAAACTCTACTAGGGCCCACTGCTGCCGAGGGCAATGGCCCACTGTGGCCTGGCCAGCCTTCTTGTCGGCCTCATCATTGTCTGTCACTGCTGATGCCAAATCCTTGCATAAGTACTGCTCCTGGAAGAGGTATTCTTGAGTGAAGTCGAAGGAGTCCAGTATAGGTTCCTGGTCAAAGTTATCTGGAGCAGGGGTGAAGAACATCAACTTGCCCATGACTGTCTCATGGCCCACTGTAATGTGGAACTTGGCCTTGGTCTGCAGGGGCCCCCGAAAATATGGTATCTTTTCCACAGAGATAAGGGCTGCGTGGACAGTGTGCAGGGACTCAGGGGCACACACCAAACCGCGCTCCAGCAGCTTGGGGTCAAACTGGGTGACACAGATGCCCAGCCGGTCTCCTTGCATGGCTGAAGTGATGGGCATATGGAACATCTGCATGGACTTCACCTTCTTCACCACCTGATGGGGAGCGAATGAGAAAGCACATGAAACCAACAAGCCTTGGGGCTGTGGGGAGGATAAGGGAGCTGCAGCTAGATAATCCTGTCCCCGTGCTCACTACCACCTGCAGGGACTGTGAGGACCAGCCAAGGGTGCTGGGGCCCAGGCAGGCTCTCCTAGACCAGAGCAGGCACCACACTGAAAGCAAAAGGCCGAGAGCCACCAGCAAAGCAGGGCTGGGGCCCCACTCTCCAAGACTCACTGCTTTTCCAGGAGGAAGGCAGGGGTCATAGCAGCCAAATTCCTGACTACCTTAGTTCCCTTCATCCCTGCCCCAGCCCAGGCTCTAGTCCCTTCCATCAACCAGGCAGGCACTTTACAGCCCTCTGTTCAGGTCTGCCTGCCTCCTCCCCTCAGAATGGCCTCCTCAGCTGCTCAGCCTGCCAAGCTATGCCCATCTGCCCTCTAAAGCCTGGGACAAGCACTACTGCTCTGGAAAGCCTGCCCCAACCCCAGTGGCAGAACTTGTCCCTGACTCCTTAGTGGTAACCCTGCCCCTCTGAATCCCACAGCCTGTGCAGTCGCTGTCTATTGTGTATCTGCTGCCTGCTGGCCTGTGGGTGGCCTAGAGCAGGAACTCTCTTCATTCATTCAACTCATATTTCCAGAGTGCCTACTGTGTGCCAGGCACTGTTCTAGGGGAAGAAATAGAGTGACCTCTGTTTGCAAAGAGCTTAATATCTAGAAACAACAGCAACAACAAAATTACAAACATAGGAAAAATTATATATATTAATTCAATCCATATCAATATAAATATATAACTTACATGCCTGCAAATATATATTATTTAATATAATTATGTTAAATTATATATATATATATTTTTTATATATAACAGACAACATACGCTATAAAGAAAACAATGCAGGGTGATGTGATAGAGATGGCCTGGGTAGTGTAAGGGTCTCGCAGAAGTGAGTTTGAGCTTAGACTTTAGTATAAAGCAGCCAGCTGCATGAGGACCCAAAGAAAGACAGCTCTAAATAGGGGAACTGGTAAGTACAAGCCCTAAGAGGGCAGCAGCTTGGTGAGTCTGAGTATGCATAGAAGCAGGAGGGCTGCAGCAGGGGTGGGGAGGTATACAGCAGGGAAGGAGGCTGATATGGTTTGGCTGTGTCCCCACCCAAATCTCATCTTGAATTGTAGCTTCCTTAATTGCCATGTGTTGTGGGAGGGACCTAGTGGGAGGTAATTGAATCATGGCGGCATGGGGTACCCCCATACTGGTAGTGAATAAGTGTCACTAGATCTGATGGTTGTATAAGGGGAAACCCCTTTAACTTTGCTCTCATTCTCTCTCTTGCCTGGCACCATGTAAGACATGCCTTTGGCCTTCCACCATGATTGTGAGGCCTCCTCAGCCACGTGGAACTGTGAGTCCACTAAGCCTCTTTTTTGAAAAAATAAATTACCCAGTCTTGGGTATATCTTTATCAGCAGCGTGAAAACAGACTAATACAGAGGTCAAGGCTCGGGCCCCACAGTAGAGTCCAAGGCCCGGAAGTCACTGGAGGAGTTTAGGCAGAGGAGTAACTTGATCTTATCGCTGTTTCTAAAATATCACACTGACTACTATACTGGGCAGATTTCTGCATTCACAGTTTGTAAATCAAGAACAGACATAGAAAGTCTCCAGTAATGAATGGACATTCCTACCTATGATCCACTGTCTCTGAGATGAAACTGTGTTCATAGATTTTTGTTTAATGAAGCAGAGAAATGTGTAATGTATTTCAGAAAATCTGCCATCAAAAATAGTTAAACTAAAGAGAATTTTGACACTTAGGTTGCAAGCGTCCGTGTCTACCGAGTCGGGGTATGCGGACACTCACTTTCTCCCTGGATAGAGGGAGAGTGTGTTACTAATGGCCCATGAGCCCAGGACCTTTCCTGGAGAGCCATAATACTCTAGTGTTTGTTTAAAGATCATTAACTACCTAACCAGAGGTCAGGGGGCAGAGAAAGTGAGACGCACGGTGTCAGAAGCCACAGCCAAGATCAATCACAAAGAAACAGAAAACATCTCTGAAATGGTCTGAAAAAGCAATGGGAGAATGAGATTTTTGGGAACATTACTCAGAGTCACTGGAGAATATCACCTTACACTAAGCATTGTCTGCCTAGTGAGGCGGGGCCCAGGTCACAGCTCTTCCCTCCCAGGCGCCTGCAGCAGCCTGTGCAGCTTTCTAAAATGTTTCTCTGATGATGCAATTATTTGTCACCAGCTCCTATGTGGGCTCCCATCGTCTACCTCATGGCTTTCAAAGCTTGTCATGGTCCTGCCATGAGCAGGAAGATCCTCTGGTTAGTTGGAATTCTATGGGGACTCCCTGTGATGGGTAGGGGTCTCCTGGTACCCCCTTCAGCGCCCCACAAGGCACTCCGCTGAAGAGCCTTACTCACAGGGCCGAGCACCCGCTCCTTAACTTGGCCACCAGGAAGCCTCCACCATGCAGCCCAACTCCACAGCCTTTTCAGCCCCACATTCTCCCCCACCCTGAAACCGCAGCCAAGGGACTCTTGAACAATTCCTTGCACACGCTGTGCTTCTGAATGTCTCTGTGCTTTGCCCCTGTGGCTTCTCCCTAGAATTTCTTCCACTGGCAAATTCCCATTCATCCCTAACCTCTGCTCCCATGGACCTCCTGGAAGGGCTACCCTGACTCCACACACAGCTGGTCACTGGAACCTGACTCACTGTTTGGTCACCACTGCTTTACAGGTCAGCCCCTGCCTCTGTGTACCGACAGATTTAAATTATATATGAAACACCCATGAGCCCATTGACCCCTCCACCTCTGAACTACACTATTGACAACTCATGCCTACCTGTGTGGTCCTTCCTATCCAGCTCCGCCACCTTCCCCAGCGGGAGGGAGCCACTGCCTTGAATTTGGAATGCAGCATTCCCTTTCTTTTTATACACACGTGCGTATGATTGTGTAGAGGCTAACTACATATGTAGCACACATGCCTAATCAGTAATTTGCTTTGTTTTGTAAGTTTTTGAACTGTATGAATGAGGCATTGTGCCAGTTATGATACTAAAAATCTGTGCACATCGTGCGTGCACCTGTAGCTCATTTGCTGCTAATGCCATCTGCCGTACTTTGTGTAGGTAGGACGTAGCAACCTGGGTTCCTATCGATGTGCACTGGGGGGCGTTTCCAGTTCTTTGCTGGAAATACTGCAGTGAGTTTCTTCTGTCACAAAGATCCTGCACAGGCACAGGTGCAAGGGCTTCTGGAGTTGTGGGCACAGTTTCTGGAGTTGAACTTCTGGGTTACAGGGTGAGTGGGTGTTCAACTTTGCTAGGTAGATAAGTCAACTTCCACCAAGAAAGCCCAAGATACCCCATCGATACACATCTGCTCCAACATTTGGCATTACCAGATTTCTTAATTTTGGCCTATCAAATGTGCATCTCTTCCCTGCTAAATCAATCCCAAGACAAGGACTGTGGTCTCCCTACTGCTGCATCCTCGGTGCCCAGCACAGGGGCTGCTGAGAAACTTGCTTCTGACAGGTCTAGATAAATGCCCAACCCCTCTGAAGAGAATGACTGCATCAGGTTCTGGAAGAGAAGTTCCCCTTGTGGCAAAATCATACCTGGCAAAGCACCAAGCTGAGATTCCAGACCTGCTGGGGCTTGAGCGAGATCCTTGTGTTTATGAGCCTTCCTGCGAGAGAGGGCGGCCAGGGGCCTTGTGCTGCCCTGACGCCCCCTCCCACTCCTCCTCCCCATCAAGCCCAACGCCAAGCAGGCTTTATTCAAAGCATGTTCTCTTTTCAACAGGGCTTATGTTCTCAGGACGAAATCATAAAGAATGCCTTACCAGGGCACCATGAAGAGCACAAAGATAAATAACTGTGCAAATCAAGATTTTAAGGGCCTAGACAGGAAATTGTGAAGCAGATAAAGATGGGGACAGGGCGGCATGGCACTCCCGTGGGTTCTCATAGGCGCATGCAGACAGCATCGCCACACAGGGTGGTCAGCGAGCCCATGCTCACTGAGGGGCGCTTCAGAACAGAAGACCCATTTAGAACACCAAAGATAAAGAAAAGGAGATAATTTTACCAACCTAAGAATGAGAAAAACAGGCTTTCCTTTCAGTCATTTATCTTCTAGCCAACTTTGAGGGCCTCTCTCCATCTACTGAATAACTCACTTCTCAAATATTCGCCAATAATGTCCACGGGGCACAGCTGAGGTAGCGCACACACATTCTCTCAACATGTGGGTAGCAACCTTCTCTCAGGTGCCAGTTCCAGGCCCTGGAATGCCAGCAGAGTGAGCAAAACAGACAGTTTTAGACAGCTGGGTTCTAAAGTCTGGTGGCTGCTAGAGAAGAAAGATGTTGATTAGATCACCACTGAATACACGAGGAATTATGAAACTGGGGGAGGTGCTATAAGAAAAAAGGACAAGTCTCTATGAAAGCGAAAAACTAGGAGATCTAATTCAGCATAGGTAGTCAGGGAGGGCTTCCCTGAGGAGGTGGCATTACGGCCAAGACCAGATTGGTAATGAACCACCTGTAGGGATTCCAGGCAGAGAGAAGAGCACAGCAGGCCTAAGGCCCTGGGCAGGGGAAGAACCAGGCCCCTAGTGGAACTGCAGGTGGCAAGGCTGGCTGCAGTGGAGTGGTCCAGGGAGACAGCAGGTTGGAGACATGGGCCAGCCACTGTCGCCATGGGACAAAGCACCAGGAAGCCACCAGTGGTAGGGATGGCAGAGGAATGACACCCGCCAGTTTGCAGTTTTAAAAGATGCAAACTGGCTACACAGTGTGGAGAATAGATTCAGGGGAGGTGGAGAAATAAGAAAGGAAACATGGAAATTAGCAAGGAAGATACTCAGAGTTCAAGACATATTTTGGTGGTGACAGACTAGATGTGGGATGAGGAGAGGCTGGTGTGTAAAAAACAGCACCCAGGTTTCTAGTTTGAGG